ATCCTTTTCCCTTTGTTTCATTTTGTTACTGTCTAGGTCAGCATTGTTCAGTAAAATCTAATGTAAGTCATAAATGCAGACCACAGGTATATTTTAAAATTAATAGCCACATTAAAAATTAAAAGAAGGAGATGAAATGAATTTTTCTAATACAGTTCATATAACCCAATGTATCAAAATACTGTTGCTGCTTCAGTATGTAATAAATATACAATTATTAATGAGACATTTTATGGTGCGGGGGTTTTTTTGTACTAAGTATTTAAAATCCAACATGTATGTAATTTGACTCTTACATCTCGATTCAGACTAGTCATATTTCAAAATCTCAGTAGTCACAGGTGGCTAGTGGCTACCATATTGGATAACACAGGTCTAGAATATTCTGTGCACTGTTTAATGAAAATGGGGATTGCAACCATCCCTGCCTTGTTACTGATCTCAAGGGGAATGCTTTCAACATTTCACCATTAATTAGGATATTTGCTGTAGGATTTTTGTAGATACTTTTACCAGGATAAAGACATTCCCTTGTATTCCTAATTTGCTACAAGTTTTAAAACATAAACAGATATTGACTTTCCTGGTATCTTTTGTGATAACAATATGTCTCTCTTCTTTTTTTTTTTTTTTTTTTTTTTTTTGCGGTACGCGGGCCTCTCACTTGTGGCCTCTCCCGTTGCGGAGCACGGGCTTCGGACGCGCAGGCTCAGTGGCTATGGCTCATGGGCCTAGCCGCTCCGCGGCATGTGGGATCTTTGCGGACCGGGGCACGAACCCGTGTCCCCTGTATCAGCAGGCGGACTCTCCACCACTGCGCCACCAGGGAAGCCCCTCTCCTTTAACTTTTAATGTGGTGAATTACGTTGTTTTGTTTTGTTTTTTGATTTTGCTTTGCAGTGTTTATTGCTAATGAGTGGTAGCATTTTCCCCAAGATTTTTAAATTGAGATATAACTGACATATAACATTATATTATTTTCAGGGGAACAACATAACGATTTGATATTTGTATACACTGCAAGATGATCCCCACAGTAAATCTAATTACCATCTGCATATTGACTGACTTTCAAATGTTAAGCCAATCTTGCATTTCTGGATGAGATCTGATTTTGTCACAATGCATTATCATTTTTATATACTGCCTGATTTGGTTTGCTAATGTTTTGTTTAGGATTTATGTATTTGTACTCATGAGTGACATTGGCCTATGATTTTCCTTTTTTGTAATATCCTTGTCATAAAAAGAATTGGGAAGAATTCCCTCTTTTTTTATAATGTGGAAAAGTTGGGGCAGGACTGAAATTTTTTCTTCTTTAAATAATTCATAGATGAAGACCCATTTTCAGTGAAGCCGGAATTTTCTTTGTGGGAACATTACTGATGATCGGTTCAACTTCTTTAATGGTTGTGCGGAGGTCTGATGTTCACTGGTGCCACGGAACGTCAGACTGCTAAAGTGCTGAAATAGTTTCATACCAGTTGGTACATACCACCACTCCCAACCCCCTAAGTGCAACAACCCCTCCAAGGCTGCCCCAGATTCCCCAGACCTTCTAACAAATAGATCTGCTGACAAATAGATCAGAGAGTGAATCCCTGCATAGCCAGGGGGCTGCTGGGCTCTGCTCAGTGTTAGGGTTGGCACCTGTTATGAATGCCCAGTGCCTGGTTGTTAAATCCTGTGGTACTATGACCAGGGATGGTGATCATTCAGGTTTCCTCTTGAATCAATGCTGGTAAATTATATTTTTCTAGGAATTTGCCCATTTCATTAAAATTTGAAAGCTATTGTAATCAAATTATTCACAATTATCTTTATCTTTTCTTTTTTTCGGTGTCCGCATACTCTGTAGCTTTTCATTCTGTATATTGATTAATTGTGCCTTCTCTCTTCTTTCTTGATCAATTTCACCAGAGGGTTGTCAACACAACTAGTGTTTTCAGAGAAATAATGTCTGCTTTTGCTGATCCTTTTCATCATTTTCTGCTCTTAACTTTACTCTGTCCTTCCTTTTGTTTTCTTTGGTGTACTGTTCTTTTTCTAGCTTCTTGAGATGGGAGCTTACTTATTACTTTCAGCCTTTGCTCTTTTCTAATACAAGCATTAAAGGCCATAAACTCCCCTTTAAGTCGTGCTTTAGCTGTAGCCTATAATTTTTAATATGTAATATTTCCATTCTCATTCAGTTAAAATATTTTCTAATTTCCATCATGAGTTCTTTTTTGATCCATCTCTTATTTAGAAACACACTTCTTAACTTCCAAACATATGGGGCTTTTGAAATTATGTTTTTGTTTTTAATCTCTGGCTTATTTGTGCTGTGGTCAGAGAATGTACTCTATATGATTTCAGACTTTAGAAATGTATTGAGTTTCACTGTTTTTGTAAATATTTCATATGTCTTGAAAAGGAGAGTATTCTGCAGATGTAGCCATGGTGTTCTGTAAAAGTCCACTAGTCAAGTTTCTTAATATTATCCTTATTGAATATATTTCTGCTTATTCTGCCAGTTACAGAGGGATGTGTTTTTAAATCTCCCCTTATAATTGTGGATTTGTCTATTTCTCTGTGTAGTTCTCTTTTTTATGTTTCTTATATTTTAAGACTATGGTATTCACATACAAATTTGAAGTTGTTCTATCTTTCTGGTCAGTTGGACCATTTTCATTTTGAAGTAAACTTATTTATCTCTAGCGATGTTTTTTTCTGATACTAAAATACCTGCACCAGCCTTCTTTTCGTTAGCCTTTGAATGATACATATTTTTTTTTACCGTACATTTACCTTCACCCTTTCAGTATCCTCATGTATTGGAAGTGTCTCTGGTGGATGTCTCTTGTAAATTGCATATCGTTGGATTTTTATCCAGTCTGATAATCTTCTTGTTTTAACTACAACATTTAGTCCACTTGCATTTATTGAATTATAGTACATTTGAATTGATAACTGTCATTTATTTGTCCCATCTGTCTTGTATTTCTTTTTCTCTCCATTCTTGTTTGCTTTAGGATTGATTGGATTGATGTTTTCATTCTATTTCCCCCCTCTAATAATTTGGCTAAATATTATACACTGCATTTTCATTCTTTTTGTTTACCCTGGTAATGACAACGTGCAGTCTTAACTCATCAAAGTCTAAATATATTTGATATCTGTTTTCGTTTTCCTCCTGAGGAATAGAAGGATCTTGGAACACTTTAATCCACTCACCCAAGTTCTGTGCCATTGTTGTTGTGTATTTTAATTCTATTTTTATCCAGAAGACATTGTTATTGTTTTATATTATCAATGTTCTGCATTGTTCTTTATTCCCTATTGCATCAGACCTCTGTCTGTGATCATCTTCCTCCTGCCTTTAGTCCCTCCGTTGGAATTTCCTTTAGGGAGGGTCTGCTAGCGTCAAAGTCTTAGTTTTTGTATTTGTAAATGTTATTTCCCCTCGTTCTGGAAAGACATTTTCACTGGGTACATAAATCTCGAAATAAAATTTCACTAAATTTCTCTCAGGGCTTTGGATATATCATTCTACTGCCTTCGGGCTGGCTTCCGTTGTTCCTGATAAAAAGTCAGTGTAAATCTATCTATCTTTTTTTTTTTTTCACCTGTACGCCCGACAGAGGCGTACAGGGGAACAGGAAGCTGTGGAAGGTTTTTAAGCACTAGGGTGACCCAGTTAGATGTGCATTTTAGAAAGCGAGCTCTGGCACTGCGGACACGGTCTCAGAGGGGATGGCAGTGAGAAGGTTGTTGCTGCGATCAAGAGAAAGGACAAGGGGTGTAGAGGGTAGGAAGTCAGAGAGGCAGGACTTGGGGTCCACGCAGGCAGGCGGTGGGAGCCGGAGGGGCACGGATGACTCGGGTTCCTCCTGGTGAGGATGAATGGTGGCGCGGTAGAGAAGACAGAACGAGGTTGGAGTGGATGGGGAAAATGAGTTGGTCCCGGACCTCAAGATCCATTCATCCCACAAACAGTCGAACACCTACTACATGCAGAGCGCCTAGCGCGTGTGACTGGGGACTTGGGGCTGCGTGGCAGCGAAATCTGTCCCGCTGTGCACCTTAGATCCGCCACGGCCACATCTGCCTCCAAGTACTGCCTAGCCGGGGCCCTCGAGGCAGCGGCCGCGCGATCCGGGCGTCTCAGCACGACCGCCTACAGACGGACGGACGGACGGAAGGATATACGTGGAGGCGCCTGCTCAGGGCTGGCAAACCACGTCGCTCCGGAGCCCGGATCTAGAGAGACCACTGTGCTGAGACGCCCGGACAGCTTGGGAAACCTTGGCTGTCCCCGCCCTCCTGCCGCCCAAGGGTCCGCGCCGCGACCCCGTCTATCCTTTGTGGGAGGTGAGGCAAATGGCCTCCCCGCTCTGCCCATGTCCTCGTCTGCCCAACCGGGGCCATGCCGTTTCCGGCCCCTCAGAGTCACCGGGAGGACTTTAGGAAACGCGTCTGTGTATTAAGATCTCGTCCCACCCCCGCGCCGACCGGCGCCGGCGCCAAATAAGTCCCTCGTGCTAGCGGATCCCGAGAGCCGCGCGCTACTGACGGCCCAGGCGGGGCGGAGCTCCAGAGGGGGCGGGATCAATAGGGGGCGGAGCCTATGAAGGAGGGGCGTGACCTGCCCGGCAAGAGCCGAGCCCCCGCTCCGCCCCCGCCCCGCGCGCTCGCTCGCCGGCTCG